GAGCTAAATCCCTGGCCCAGTACCATGCTGTTTTTATCATGGTAGTTTTGTAATATAATTTAAGGTCAGGACTTGTGATACCCCCTGACTTGCCTTTTTTACCCAAAATTGCCTTTGCTATTCTAAGTCTCTTCTGCTTCCAAATGAATTTTAGGATTGTTTTTTTTCCCAATTCTGTGAGATACGCTGTTGAGATTTTGATTGGGATTGCATTCAATCTGTATAACAATTTTGGAAGTATGACCATTTTTACTATATTGGTTTTTCCTATCCAAGAACAAGAAATGTCTTTCTATTTTCTGATAATACTCTTCAATCTCCTTTTTTTTTTTTTTTTTTTTTTTTGGTACTGGGGATCGAACTCGGGTCCTTGCTCTTGTGGGGTAGGCACCAGAACCACTGAGCTAAATCCCTGGTCCTACATTATTCTTCTTTAAATCCGCCTAATGGAGAGTAGATACTCAAGAAATGTTTCCTAAATTGAATATCTTATTTCCTCCTGAATTTCTTTCTCACATATTCATAGTTGTGTTTTAAACTGTATAAATATATACATATATATAGAGAGAGAAAGAGACAGGGGGATAGGGGCAATTGCTTAAGGATCATCTGTAAATCAGCAGAAAACTGCCAGAATTATGGCAATGTGGACTATTGGTCCATTTTTTGGTCAGTAAATGAAGAAAATCACCAGGGGGATTAGATAAGTGAACCTGCCCCACTATAAGTCCCACTGAATTTTTCTTGCATACCAAGAATTTACATGTATTAACTTTCACAATAGCCCCCAAAGTAAACTAAGACTCTTGGAGGTAAAGATTCAACAGCTCATATATACCCTGACTATTGTAAAATTCCCAGTTGTCCTAATATCACCCCAGGACCCAGGGTGCAGAAAACCAAAAGAAGGAATCTCTAATAAATGACTAAAACTTACAGTTCTGCCTCAATCTCATGGTTCCTATATTAATTCACTGCAACCTTGTTATTGTTGTTTGAGGTTGTTTTGTTTTGCTTTGTTGTTTGTAGTGCTAGGGATTGAACCCAGAGCCTAATGCTTGCTAAGCAAGTGCATTACCACTGAGCTACATTCCCAGCCCCATTGACATTATTCTCTTTAAGCATAACATTGCCAAAAAGAACAAAGAAAAAAGAAACCAATGTTTTGTTTGCTGAGTAAAGGAATATCCCGTTTATTTTCTGTGACAAAGGAATTTCAGCCCTACCACAATAGGGCCGTTGCCCAAGTCATAGGTGCACACTGAGACCAGCCTCAGGTATGAAGCTGAGGTCTGTCTTCTCCCAGGAGGTGGCAGCAGCTGCAGTCTCGGCCTGCTGGAGAAATCACACAGAATTCATTTGTTTTTCTTTTGGCATCCAAACCTAGAAATTCCTAGTTCCAAAGACAACTTTATCCCTTCCTTGGTTTGCTGGGCTCGGTTGGAGCCAGGGCGCAGGGAGTGCAGGAGCTGGCAGTGATTCTTCTTGTAAGTGGAACTTATTAAGTGCCTAGTTTTTTTTGTAAACATTTTGGTCTGGGCTGTGACCTTGAAGCATGTGTGAAGGAGGACCAGGAAGTCTTTGACCAGGGAAAAAGTGCTTCAAAAGGAAACAAACAGTAACCAAAATGCATTCACACCAGCATAAATACAGAGGATACCAGCTCACAGTTGGGTGCTACATGAAGAATATAGATTCTAGACCTGTCCTTCCCACTATTAGACAGCTGACCTTATCACCGAACCTGTTAGAGCTGCAGTTTCTTCATCTACCCAGTATGAACTAGGTCAGTGATGGTGAACCTTTTAGAGATGAGTGCCCAAACTGCAACCTAAAAACCCACTTATTTATCACAAAATACCACACTGCAATTAAACCTGAATACTGAGGTTTTAATGTAGAAAAAACAACTCATACATTAACATCTTTTGTCTTAAAAGGAAAACAACATGCTTGTCACCACTGGACTAGGTGATCTTGAAGCATCTCCTAATCCTTTTGAGTTACTACACCTTTATTTTCTGAATTAAATGGGAGTGGCTCTTGACTCTTTCTGAATTTAAAAAATCTCAGACACAACAGAGTGCTACTGGTTCCAAGTTAATCCCAGTTGAGCACATATCCTGGTTTGTCAGACACTGCCAGCTGCCTAACAGGTGGGCAGAAATCCCAGGAAACGTCTGGACACCACACAGTTATGGATGAACTGTCAACTGCTAGGAGTTGCTTTGCAAATTACCACATCTAAATGAAGCTGACAAAATGATATTTCAAAAAGGCAGTTAACACTGATTCCTAGTGTTTGGAACCAAAAGTCCTTTAGGAAAGAGTGAAATTAGCTCAGAAAGAGAGTATCTCAGCTCTCTGTATAGAAATGTTTGAGCTTAAAGAGATTCTTAAATCAGGATCTTTCCATGCTTTTCTCCCATCTACACAACCAGGGTCAGCCTGGTATGTGTGAAAGGGGTTTCTCTCATTTTCCTGCTGCTTCATCTTGCTTATTCCAATTCATGTTGCTGATTGGTTAAATTTCCACCACTTCATTCAGCAAACACTTATTGGGCACCTCCTATGTGTCAGGTGTAGGGGATACATCTGGCTATTAAGGCGCTCATAAGCAGTCCAATCTTAAATGAATTAATGCACATTCAGAAAGGGTTAGCATATAAAATAAAATACTAGTGGTGACAGTAGTATTAGCTCTATAGGGACACAGGCCAAATATCATACTTCCTAGTGACAGCTGTCCCTAGATTATAGCAGAATCACAAAGATAATTCCATACTCCTATTAAGTATTGGTTCCTGTGGGTCTGTTAAAGCAACTCCATTTTTCTTCCTGTTTCACACAAAAGGCATTAGAATCTCTTCTGGATGAGGAGTATTGGCTCCAGAATGCTACTGTAAATAGAAATACATATATGTTACCTGTCATGAAAGGAGCAGGCTGATTTGGGACAGCTTCTTCCTCTACCTATTCCCAACGAGACTATCAGAACAGGGGACAAGGAGAGCTTGGTGACAACAAATTCTAGATGATTCCACACTAGAAAGAAGAACCTAGAGGGGTAGGTCAAAGAGCAAAGTGGGTAGAGGGGGCTGTCTAGGATAACAAGGGATGAGTCCAACAATAGACTGCAGCAAAAAAGCTGAAAAGAAGCAAATTATGAGCTAGGCATGGTGCCACATGCCTGTAATCCTAGTACACTGGGAAGCTGAAGCAGGAGGATCACAAGTTTTGAGTTCTATGAGCCCGTCTCAGCAACTTAGTGACTTAGCAAGACCAAGGGTTTTTTCTGTTTGTTTGTTTGTTTAAAGGTCTGGGGATGTAACTCTCTTTGAAAGCCCTAGATTCGATCTCCAGTACCAAGGACAAAAAAAAAGAAAAGAAGAGGCAAACTGTGTTTCTTGGTTCCTCCATGTTATGGATTGCATCTAGATATCCCCCCAAAGCCCCATGCAGTCATAAGTGGGGCTTTTTCAGAGGTGGCTGGATCTAGAGTGTGTGACACTGGAATTGATTGATGGTGCAATGCTAGGATCAAGGGC